CGGTGCCCAATCTTAGTCAGCACATGCAAATCATGACTCGGCTGAGTCAGAAGCTGACTCAGCACTGCTAGGATTACTAATATGACTCAGAAAGCTGGCCTAGCTAAGGAGTATAAAATGTAGCCGAATCGGCATGAATGAGCAATCAATCAGTTCCACTCTAATCGCGCCCGGCAGTCGTCTGCCGATCCCTCTCTGTCAGGCCTCGAGTGCCTGGACAGCTCCTCTATCGACTCTACACAGCCGCCGTAGGCTGTTCGAATTCGTTTCCCTCGCTCTATCGTCTTCGCGACCAAAGGAACAACTGACCTCTCTTTATTTTTTTTAGGAACTTCGACGCTCGAAGCGTCTCACAAGACCTCAACACAGGATCCCTCAAGCCTTCCATTTAGGCCCACTCTCATCTTACCTTTTATAGGTATCGCCGACGAGCTCTCAAGAAGCTTGTCCCATCAAATTCAAGTCAGGTTCAATAACCGACGGCCAACTGAGCAATCCCCGACTTAGGTAGCCCGGGACCTCAGGAGTTTGTGCTTTTGGCAGAAGAAGCTGAAGAATCGGCACTACACCTCTATCGCCTCAAGAATTCCTCTCGCCTCTTCGACACAGCCATCACCACACAAAACTCGTTCGACAACGGGTTGCCAATCAACGCATCCACATTGCGTAGAAATGTGCATTTTGTAACCCCAAGTACGCGAGCCCTGAAGTGCATGCGCACTGTCGTCGCTCTTAGCTGGCTGTCGCAAAGTTTGGGTAGCTGCGGAAGATCAGTGGTGTGAACACTCATATTGCACTGTCACTCTCGTACATCCACGATTTCACCGCTATCGTCAGCCACGCTTTGCCAATAGCCGCGCTAAAAGACGGTGGTGTCTTATCGTCTGTCTGTCACGAATGGCGATCGGCGGGTGGAGAAAACGTCCTTCATGATCTCTGCAACGACTGTGCAGAGAAGCGTCACCTGGGTACCTCGTCGACCTGCGATGTCCATGAATTCCACGGCGCGCACACCGGGACTCTTTTGCTCCCTTGCCCGCGGTCCTTTGGAAGAGCTGCGGGAAGAAAAATTTCCATGGCCTCATTGTCGTCATCCGTTTGTCGTCTTTGCAATGGGTTAGCGACGGGTTAGATGTCCTCTTCGGTCAATGGTCGGTCAGTGAGCCGTCGAGAGACGTGATGTCGGTCAAAGGATATCCATCTGATGCGTGCGATTGATGCGTCCCCTAAAGCCTAAGGTGGGGGGTAAAGCGAACATCATCCCTAATGGGATCGGCAACGCACCATCCGGTTTCGACATCATGGTGGATGATGCACTCATAGGTTGAACGTGTGGAGGTGTGCAGAAGAATTTGTTGAAAATTTTCCCCACTGTCAAATACAGGCATTCCCTTACCCTAAGACAGGTTAGAAGAGCACATTATCACCTAATACCAATCCTCCATACATTCCCTGAGCCTAAGTTGGGTTGGTGGAGCACGATGACACCGACTGTAGTTTTACGACCTTAGGTTCAGTCCGCCTTCCGGGGGACAGGGGACAGCTGCAAGTTCGGGGCCGTGGGAAGTTCACAAACTGACTGGAGTCAGTTAAATATATTCTCACAGTAAGCAACATAATTCTCACGATCAGCTCAGGCCCTGGATTTTGGCGGGGGACAGGGGACAACATGGGAAATTAGGTTCAGTTCGGGCTGCCTGTAAGAACCCCTAGATCGTGGTACCTTAGGCGGGTACCGAACTGTCGTGGTTGTTAGACTTGGCGTAAAGTCTGTCGTTGTAGTCTAGGCTGTGTCGTGTGACTTAGGCGTGAGAGTCAAGACTCTAGGTGCACTAGGTCGAGTGGGGGTTGTTGTTGTTAAGGTAGCGGTGTCTTAGTCTTAAGTCTGAGAGGCCGTAACCGAACCGTCAATCGTTATAGCGCTAAGGGCGTGTATAACAGATGGACGAGCTGAAGTCCATCGACTTCAGCTAGCGTCTTATATACTACTATACAAGTACTGTACTAGAACCTTCCAGTCCCTACCATAACGTTCTATACTATTCTACAATGTTCCTTGTGAGTCACAGTCGAGTCATAACCTGAGTCACTACAAATCCTAGAACCTTCAGGCGCGTTCCAGCGCCTTCTACAAGGTTCTACTCTATTCTGTGTGTCATTACTAAGCGTTCATGACACTGCCAGGGGACAGGGAACGAACCTAAGGTCGTAAAACTACAGTAATGCTGGTTGGTCCACGTCTCTACCTGGAAAAGAACACTGAGCCATACTCCCGGATGGCCATGTCCCCTACCCTAATGGTGGAAGGCAGCACAAGCTGCACCGATAACCATTCTATGCTGTTGTCAAGCCTATATCACAGACAACAGACTCGATTAAGTCCAACCATAATAGCCCCGTTTTTCATCACCGTTCCTGCCCTCGAGACAAACAAACCCCTAACCTGCTAATGGCTAAACTAACCAACTAACCCTTCTAATACTAACCCTAAGCTAAGCTAACCATCTAATAGTTCTACTAATAACTGTGATTGCCTCATTCTCATCACCGTTCCTGCCCTCGAGACAAACAAACCCTAACTAACCCTTCTAAACTAACCTTCTAAACTAACCTTCTAAACTAACCGGCTAAGCTAATCGACTTACTCAGCACTTCTGTGGCTATACACTGACCTGCCAAACAGCCAAAACTGAGATGGGTGGTGTCAGGGTCAGCGCAACGAGAGATGATCCAATGAGAGCCAAGGAGGCTCCTTGGGTCACATGACCACGGAGGGCCACGCGAGTGCATTTTATGTGCGATGCTACTGTCTCGCAAATGTTGCAACTTAGGATTCACACAAGACAAGATGGTAATGCACAGTCATTATGATGCAGTCATTGCAAGCCTGATATACATGGTGATAGTATACATTATGAGAACCAACATAGTGTTGCATGACAAAAGCGAAGCAAGAGGGAAAAAAAAGCGACAAAGTCTAAGGATATGACCAAACCTCTACTGCTCTACTTCGGACAAGGGGGACACATGAATGGCAACACTGGGTGGCAGTTGAAAGCCTCGAGGAAGCACTTGATAAAGGCCTCGAGGACCATGCGCTCGTACATGTTGTGCTTGAGCGGTGCCTGCGCAGGATACGCCAGTCCTGTTCAATATTGATCTGTCATAGAGCGCGCCTCATCCCACAAGACGTACTTTTTGCCGATCTGCCATCCGTGCATAAGTTGCGCGAGGACGTGGATAGACTTGATGCGACCGGCTGGGTCATGTTGCGCGATGCTGCTGTTGCAATTGTTCATTTGGCCGATCAGGCCGTCAACGTAGCGGAGCTGGTCCCTTGCCATGGTCGTCGTCAAGGTCATGGACCAGTAGACATAGAAGTTGAGGGTGCGCATGTCAAGGTGGAAGCCCATGGCTTGGACGTCCCACATTACGACCCCCATCCAGTCCTCTTGGAGGAGCCCGGGTGGCGGCTTCTTGCGGTCGGGCCAGTTGAAGTTGAAGAGGTTGTACGAGAGCGGGCTGTCGAGCGATGGGAGTTTGATCTTCTCCGCGATTAAAAGTCTTCGGACGAGTGTTGTGGCTTCCACGGCGGCCTTGTCCTTCCCATTCCGGTCGACAGTTGGAGGGTTGACCGGGTCGAAGTACCTCAACCACAAATGCGGGTCCAAGAGGGAGGACCAGACGCCCAGGGTGAACCGCAGGGTTGACAACACCGTGAAGTCATTTGTGATGCGGGGATGGCTCATGAGTTCCTTATATTTCCAGCAGAAGAGAATCCAGCCTGTCCGACGCCAGGCGGCGGAAGCGGATGGCTTGTCCATCAGAGACATGGGCGGTGACGGCAAAAGCACCTCTTCGATGACGATCTTTGTGTTGTCGTGGTACCTCCGCCTGATCTCATTGATGAACGGCGCACAGCTGAGAACCCACTGCTCCCCCTCGAAGTCGAATAACGCGAGCTTCTGTAACTGCACCTGCATAGCCTTATTCACCGTCTGCGGGATGCGGTGTCGAGATTGTGATGCTGGGTCAAGTGGGCCGGCAGCGGCTGCATTGCGTGCAACCTTGGTCTCTGCATGGGCATATCAGCGACGAGTAGATAATGCGAGCGCTGCGACAAACATACCTCGCAACAAATGCAAAGGTCCCACTGTTGGTCCCGGAGACTGACGTGATGGTCCCGCGCTCAGCTCCAGCGACTCCCCCCAACCCGAACGAACGGCTGACAAAGACTGATAACTCGCCCACCCAGACTTGGTGGTGTTCTCGAGCGCCTCGTATCCGGCAGATTTGACGCTGACAACGGACCCAACGATGACACCTTGGACCTCGTTGCAACCGAAGTGCGCGGGCAAACTTTCACGCAACGTCTTGATGACCCGCATTTTGAGTCCAAGGGATGACATGCGGAAGGCTGGCACTTTCCTGGCCTGCTTCCACGGGGGCGCGTTGTGAATACACCAGCTCGCAGATAGCGATGTTCGAGGGTAGTTGCTTGAAGGGAACGTGCATCCACACTGGAACACCCTGCTTGTAGAGTGTGGAAAGGTCGGTCCAATCCGTGACGAAGGCCCCAATGACTTTCCGCGTGGTTCAGTGATGGTCGAAGTCCCGGTCGTCCTTGCTGCTCAGCCAAAGATAAACTCCCCACATCTCGAGCATGGAACGTTGGGCGTTCGCCCATTCTAGATGCAAATTTTCGATGCGATACCCGAGTTAGACCGCGGCATGGAAGCACGTGTGCCTGGCACGAGAGAATACATTGTCGACGAGCCAGACAATTTTGTTGTCACCTCCATGAGGGGGATTCTTCTGTGCGCAGCGAGTCACATACCAATCATTGACGAAGTGGTAGTGCCGCTCCATCTCCTGGAACTCGGCACCCCAGATGGCAAAGAAGCTGGGCGCGGTGCTCCAGTACTGTTGCGGATACAGGTCCGTCCGCAAAGATGCAATATACAGGCCAGTAGGGGGGTTGTACAAATCGAGGGGGATCCAGGGAACATGGGGCTCTTCTTCTTTGTAGAATTGTGGGTTGAACACCCAGTCGTGCAGGCCAAACTGGCCGTTTGAATACAAGTGCATGGCATTCATGCGGAAGTTGGGCGGATGGGGGTGGAGGGGAATATATTGCATATTCGGGGAGTAGAGAACGGTCCCCAATGGCTCGCGATACTTTGCGAGGATGATCCTGGCATCAAAATATCACCATCCTGTACGACGATGACGACATCAGCATGGAGTCGCATATCGTCAAGTATGAAGGGTACTCACGTTGTAACAGCGTAGGAGACTGTCTGACGCGCTGTAGCGACCTGGGAGCAGGGGAATGGAGCTGTGAGTCGAAGTCTATTGAGATACAACTAGGGACAGACCTGGGAGCAGGGGAATGGAGCTGTGAGTCGAAGTCTGAGGACTCTGGGCTCCATCCCTGCTCCCTAAATACATCTAGCTATGATGGAAGCTATAGTAACAGGTAACAAAGGGAGATATCGAAGCTATGGAGATAGGGATCAAGCATGTGGAGATGGACAGTTGGAATCAGTGATCTAAGCAACCAACTGACTGTTGGACCGGTTTCATCAGTTGTGTGGTCAACCAACTGATGCCAACTGATACCAACTGATGTGAACAGATGGGAGGCATGTAGCCAGGAGACCGGCATCAAAGGATGATCAGAGCAGCCAGAAAAGCGGTGACCAAGGGGAATGATGGATGGTAACCACCTAGACTGATCCATCACCATCCTCAACACGTTGCGGATCCCACTCACAATTGACCTGGTGCAGGTCTCCAATGAGGGCTGGCCCGACACGGTTGGGCTCTCCACGGTTTGGATCCGGGTTTTCGAAAACAGGGTGCATATTAACGCCCTCCGCGTGGGGGTCACCTATGTTGCGGGGCATAGTAGCAGCTGAGAAGGGACAGTGAGGCAACAAAAAGGTGACAGAAAGAACAGAACTTACAATGGGAGTGACGCTGCTGCAGGACAGAGACAGTGGTTGAGGAGCAGCAAAAACGAGCAGGGGGACAAGGAGACGGGGACACGAGGATCCAGGGACCAGAGAGGGAGGTCTTCAAGTGATGCGTACACGTGGTCCGACGAGGTATCTATAAAAAAAAGAGCAGAAAGGAGGACTGAAGGTCCTTCTCACCGATGCAGTAAACCCGAAGGTCTACTGGCCAATCGTGTGTGCTGAAGGCACACACATCTGGTTAGTACGATAAACGGTGGCACTGGCGGCAACGAGGGCGAGGGCGGCAGTGAGAATGGCAATGACGGGTGACAGCGATGGCAAATGCGAATGCGACAGTGAGAACGGCGACGGTGGGCAATGGCGGGCAACGGTGAGGACGGTGGTGAAAAGTGGGCGAGTGAGCGGCAAGTGGGCGAGCGAGCGACAAGCGAGCGAGGTCAAGGGCAAGGGCGGCGGCAAGGGCAAGGGCAGTGGCGAGGGCAAGGGCAGCGGCAAGGGCAAGGGTGGTGGCAAGGGCAAGGGCGGCGGCAAGGGCAACGGTGTGAGAGAGAAATGAGAGCTGGACAGAAACGGAAGGGACGCATAAGTGTGCAAGGTGGCATGAGAGCAGTATACCGAATGAAGATATCTTCATGTGATTGTGCCCACCGCCCAATGTGGACAGCCACCCCGCATTTCCATACAGAGCAATAGCGCAGTCCATACCCTTTAAGCAGAACACGGCGCGTTGACTCAAAGAGCATGATAGACGAGGTAGAAATAGCTTTGACATTAAGTATACTAGTATACATGGCCGATTGCATAACTTAACCAACTTTAACACACGATTCGGGCCAAGAACATAAAAATTAGTTAAACTATACTCAGTCAGCAGCCAGCATTAATGAGGATGAGGAAACACTAACAAAAGCTCACCGAGACGGAGGTGTCACAATATACTGCAGAATACAAATAAGTAAACAAATCTGCCGTACGGCAACGCTTGCCAGAGCACCAATTCCAGTGCTTCTGCTGTTTTGGGAATTTGCAGTAATGCCAACTCGCGTGTGAGGAGCTCCCGGACGTGGCGTAGCAGGTTTGCATCTTCAAGGAGGAACATGAGGGCGGGGAGGATGATGTCATCATAGGATAGCAGGGAACAACCATCCTTTGACAGGCAATCATACTCCAGGTGAATCATAGGGAGCAGGCCAACTTTACGCTACAAAGACGGTTAAGATCACATGGCGCTAGCGGCCGACTTACAATACGCACCGTAGGAAGCGCGCACCAATGGCATACACCAATTGTTGCCTCTTGGAAGCTATTGCGTTTCTTCTTCCAATTGAGTAGCTGCCCCAACAATCGCCGCCATGACTGGGCGGTGCAGTCTTTGAGGTCATGCTTTGCGTCCTGGTGTTGCATGGCGCACAAGACACAGCGTTTGGCGAGATAATGCATACTAAGCTCGATATCAGCCACAATCGAGTCCACTATAGCGCCGTGGTGATGAGCATGCGCGGTGTTGACAGCGCCTTCCATAGGCCGAGACTGTGTGGGCTTCCGATGTTCCAGGTACGTGGTGAATTTTGGGCTGTTATCGGGAAATTCGTATGGTCAATCCAACCAGGTAATTCTCGGCAGCCTGTATGAGTAAGGGGTCAGTGGCCGTATATTGCAGCAAAAACGCGAGGAGGACGTACGGCATCATGATGCTGTAAAAAAGCCAAAGTGACAGCGTTTAGACTTGTTCCGGCACGGTCAGAGGACGAGTCGCTTACATGCTTGTTCTAACGGAATGATGGCTCTCGAGCTGATGTACCTCATTGATCATTGAATGATTCGCACCGCGCGAGTGCGGTGTGGGCCATGCATGTGCCTGGACGTTGAGGCTTGGGGCTCGACTCACAGCGTGAGATCCTTTGTATACGCTGAGATCGATGTGAGGCACTGTATCTGCCGTGCGCGGTTGAGGTCCCCAGTTAGCGGCACTGAGTGGCAGTGCAAACCCAGAATACGGATAGTCAACAGTGTCTGTGAAGATGTCGCCAGTGCATGTTGAATGGCTCGTAAGGCTGTCACGATCGAGTGACAAAGGATTGATCTGACATTTCTTGCTCTTCGCAGCGTCAGCGTGCTGGTTGGGTGGAGGTGGTCGGCGACGTGCGCCGGTGACGGGAGTGGGGGGAACCTCCACCCGCTCCTGGTAGTCCTCTCGCACCGTGGATTGACGACTCAGGGCGACAGTCTCAGTTGGGGCATAGCTGGAGGAAGACCCAATATCAGCGTACATTTTGTAATTGCGGCCTCCGCTGTGACTTACCGTGCAGCAGGATCAACGGCCTGCAATGAATGTACATTTGTGTAGAGCGGAGGTGCACGTGGAAGCATCTCTGCAGGCACGAACTGAGCGACGATGTCCACGCTCTAGGGTAGTACAGCGGTCGGGAGCTCTTCTGGGTAATCCTGCTGGCAAAGCTTTTTGCAACGAGAGCACAGCTCCGTGTTTGGGATGTCAATGCAGGTCTTCTTTTCACCATCAAAGAACTCGTGGAAGAAGTGGCGGATGCAATCCCCTTTGCACACACATGAGATGAACTTGGTGGCACCGAGCAGAGCGTCATGGTCTTCCCGAACTTGGTAAATGTCCTTCTGGTCAAGGAACCAGATTTGCACCGCCCGTCCATCACGTCCTGCGTGCCCTGCCTCTTGCTTGGCAACCAGGGCGTGAGATGGGAGCCCATACATGAATACGTCCCTAATGTGACCGATGTTGATGCCGTACCCGAGAGCGAGTGTAGCAACGACAACGGGGCCTCTATGCGCCCAGCTGTCGTAGGTGTCCATCTGTCTTGCTCCGATAGCTTGCTGTGATAGCAAACGCAGCTTAGCGCCAACGAGAGGTCCTTGCACTGCTCGATGGTGTGCATGATATGATCGCCGGATATGATCACCCTGTCCGCTGTACCGTACGGCTTCGTCACTTCACGTAGCTTATCCATCATCCAGATGAGAGGGTGTTCTCTCAATGTACCTGTAGATATACTTGAGCTCTGGCCGAGTGATGGGGGCACAGATGGTCCCAAACGAAGGGCATCCAACGGTCTTCAATACGTACGGAACGATACATGGTGGACACGTCGTGGTGAGCAGTATCATCTGTACATCAGCGATGGCGAGCTGCTGCAGCTGAGCAAAGCACTGCCGAAAGGTTACTTGCTCAACCAGGACGTGAGCTTTGTCAACCACGAGTGTCGTGATATTGCCGCCGGCCGCTTTGTTGTTGATCCAAACAAAGAATTCGTGGCGCACAGCGTTCTCCGGTGACACCAGAACGACCGCCACCTGAGGACGCTGGTTCTGGAGGTGTGTGCCATGCCAGAGGCCCAGTTGCTGACACTTGCTCTTCCATTCCCGTACAAGGGCACGAAGAGGTACCAGGACAACGGTGCACCTCAATGAGTCTCAATGCTTTCCAGCTTTGTGCGCTGCATCCAGAAGCTGTGCAAGTTTTAGAGCATGGCATCGTTGATCATCCGTGAGCTCCAGGGAGAAGTGGTTCAGCATAAGGCCAATAGTGGCTCTGATGACAAAAGGAGGACGGGGAACACTTTGCAAACGTATATCTTCCACATCTTGATGTGTCCCACATGGCCGGGATTGTTATCGCGTCTGATGGTGACAGTCAGTACAGGAAAAAAAGAAAAACTGTCAGGGCACGGCTCCCACACTCGCCTCATGTCTCATTGTTCCCTTTCTGCTTCCGCTTCTGTCCCATTCCGTTCATTCCCCCTAATACTTCCGTCTCCCTATTCGGTCACGCTCTCCCGCGCCCTCCTAGGCTTCCCGCGCCCTCCTAGGCTTCCCGCGCCCTCCTTTTGGCATCTCCCCTATTTCGTTCCGTCACTCGGCGCTCCTAGGGCCTCCGCACCCTGTGCGGCCTTCCTAGGCCGCTCCACTGGTCATGTGTCGGGCGCCCGAGGACCCTCCTCTTCTCTCATTGGACCATCTTTCGTTGCGCTGATGGATTACTCATCTACTATATAGTTGCCTGTCGCACCAGGGAGCAACCCAGACTTGTTCTCTCAGCTGCCTCCCTGCCTTGTGCGACAGGTATGTGTACTTCCCCTCGTATCTTTGTATATATACTCAGTTGCCTCCCTGCCTTGTGCAACAGCATCTCCACCGCCGTCCCAGGGGATCCGCGCCACTCCTAGGAGCTCCAGCGTGTACTCTGACAAAAACAATAACGATTGTGGTGGACTCACATCCCGTTATTCGCCTACATTTCCCAAACAGTGTATGGCTCCCTTTGAAGCACATCGAGGGCGACGTCAACATATTGCTCCATGTATAATTGCAGAAGCCCTAACGCCTCCGGGTCCTTTGAGCCATCGAAAATCTCTTGAAGCTGAACGCCAGTGCGACCCTTCATGTATATGCACATGCCAGCCCTCCCTCATCTCGGATACGGACAGTTGGCGATCGTCCTCTGGTTCAGAGATAGGGACTTGCTCGAGGGAAACATGCTCGAGGTCGGCATTGATGAGCTTCCAAGCTGTCGCTGCGGCGGCATCATTGATGGGCTCGGGGAGGAAACAATACAAGATAGGAAAGAATTGTTTCTGGATTGTCTTGCTGAAGAATGTCTGCGCCATAGACCGATAGCACCGCTGAGCCAAAGGGACAGACTTCATATCTTCGTGTGCACGGCATTGTGTATGCCAGTGAGCGAGCCCCGCTTCAGATATGGCCCCCGTGTGACAAAAAGTGCAGAAAACAATGGAAGGGTGTAACGTAAGCCTGTAGATGATCTGCTGATTGCGAGGCCATATGCGTTTCGCCTCCTCAGGGCCAACCAGACCACACCGTTCGCATAACTTTTGAAGAGAAGTCTTGTTTTTCTTGCTCAACTTTCCGTTATGTTTGCTGTCAAAATGGCTGTTCAAAGCAGTGGGGTCGAGTGCGTAACCACATTTATGACATATGAGAACACAATACGTAAGGTTGACCGTACACTCAGCCTTTCTGAGCAATTTTGCTGTCTTGTCTTCTCCATCCTGCAGTAACTCATCTCGGCCGAAGTGAACGGTGGCCTGGATCCATGCAACTTCGGCATTGCGCTCGTGTTGCCCTATTCCCTGGGGGCATCCTCCCACTCCAACTCCAAGCCAACCTCAATGTCGACATCGTCCTCGTTACCTAACACCAACCAGATCTTCTGGTCTTCGTCATCCATACTTTCAGGTTCCTCGTCTCTGAGATGCACCATAGCCATGGGATAGTCGACGTCGTCTATGTTGTAGTAGTCGAAAAGGGGGCTCGATGGCAGTGTGCCGACTTTAACTTCGCTGTCGTCGTTGAAGTTCTCGGCCTCGGCCTCGTCCTCGTCCTCGTCTTCATCTTTGTCCCCAAAATTGCTGTCGTCTTTGTCGTCCTCGCCCTCGTACTCATCCTCGCCCTCGTCCTGGTCCTTGTTGTCATCCTCATCCTCGTCGTGATGCTCATCGTCAGCCTCGTCTTCAGCTTCGTCAATCAATCTAGACTCGCAGCGGGCCTTCTTATGCTAACAAGGAGACGGGCGGGCGGTTTCCTCGTTCGACCTCTGGCACTTGCTCCCAATAGAGGATGCCCGCTGGAGGGTCTCCGCCTGCGGAGCAGAATGCGGCAATGGACACGACTTCTCGTCCTGAGAGGACCCGCCGGTCGACAGTGAAGACCGACCTGTGATACAATGCACCAGTGAGCCGATCATTCTGACAGCGGCATCAACAGCGGTCTGGGGTTGGAGCTGCTCGTCCGTGGAACCAGACGCGACAGTGGACGAGGCAATATGCGTCATCATGTGAGTCTACGAATTGTCCACAGTCAGCACAAGGATTAACGAAGCCGAAGGGAGCCACTTACACGCGCTGCCTGGGCCCCTTTGCAGGACCGGCCACAAGTCCCACACTGAAAGTCCTCCGTGTTACTGATGCGCGTCGCTCGATGCTTGACGCCGTCAACGCGAACGTGCGTCTTCTTTTGGTGGTATTTCTCCACGTGGGCCTTGTAATGATGGTCTTTGTCCTGTGGGTTCGGGCAATACGGGCGATCACAATGATATACCGGGCCCGGCGGGTTGCTCTTGATCGCAGTCCCTTCTTCTGCGGGTGTAGAGGGTTGCGTGGTTGAAAGGGTTGGAGCAACCGGCGTTGACAGAAGAGCGGGGGAAGACAGCAAAGTGGCATGCCCCGGTATAGGAGGGGGCAGGACTGCCTGCGAGACAGATGGAATGGCAGAGTCTATCGATGACGAAACGATTCTCGTGTTGCATTGGCGAGTGACGAGGAGTGCGCTTGCCAGCACGCGACTACAAGCAGGCAACGATCTGGGCAAGCATTACGGCCTGGAATGAGC